CACACCCCTACATCTCCACTCAGGAGGCTGCCGGCCCCACCTTCCACACCCCTACATCTCCACTCAGGAGGCTGCTATCCCCACCTTCCATACCCCTGGCCACCTAGAACACCCCTGACCTTTCCAAACTCAGGTCACATGACAACACCTTTCATGATGCTTTTCTTGGCCCCTGGCCCCCTTCAGTCCCCTGACTCCAACAGCCCCTCTGTGATGCTCTCACAGACGCCTCCTCTGGGGCAGAGCCCCGTCTGCTGCTGTCCCGGCCACCAGGCTGAGCACCTTGCTGGCAGGGAGCCTGAGCTGCCTGTGGTCTCAGTGTCCAGCCAAGCACCCATAACCAGGAGACCCCCAGTGCTCAGCCTTGGGTGGAAGGAAATAGGTGAGAGGCTGCCGACCCCGCCCTGCCCTTCCCCAACACAGCGTGTGCATGTTCCCTGTTTGCCTGTATGTTTAGGGAAAGGCGGGAAGAACAGGGCCTGCCCCATTTTACTGTATCACACAGGTGTGGCCGCAGCAAAGCCAGCCACTCGCTTCCCCTACCCCTGCCCTCGGAGGCTGCCCCTTCTCAAGAGGCTGGTCCACTCCCTCCCTGGAATCAGGGCCAGCCAGTAATGGCTCTGGCATAAAGTGGCACGACGGATGCTCTCCCAGCCCTGCCCCAAGACCATCAGAGGCCTGGCAGCTTTTGCTTCTGCCCTCGTGGAACCTATTGAGAAGCCCAGGCTGTCCTATCAGAGGGTGAGGTTCCTGGAGGGAAACTGAGCAACCCAACCAACAGCCGACACAGCGTTTTCCTGGGCCTTTGGGCCCCACCATAGCCAAATGCCACTGCCTGAGGGACCCCAGGCAGCACCCCATGGGTCAGAGATGAGCTGTCCCCACTGAGCCCCGTCCAGATCCCTGGCCCACAGAATCGCCAGCTAGGGAACAGCCGCCAGCCGCTAGGTGTAGGAGGGTTTGTCACACCGCAGGAAACAGCGTGGGAGACACAGAGAAGCAGGACAGAGTCAGCAGGATGCAAGCAGAAGGCCACGGCCTGTGGGGCTGAGGGCAGCTCCCACTCTGGACAGAGACTGGGGTTGCCGAGCTGCAGGCAAACCTTACCCACGTTACAGTCGCACCTGCTTCCTAAGAAACATGTCTCCAGTGAAAAAGCTGCCGCACTAACTCCAGGACTCACTGGCTTGAGAAAGAAAATGCTGTTTCACACAGACATTCAATGAACCAATTAGATCTAAGACGGTTTCTATTTGAATAATCTTGAGTGCCCTCGTGGTTTCCACGCAGACATTCAATGAGCCAATTAGATCTAAGATGGTTTCCGTTTGAGTAATCTTGACTGCCCTCGTGGTTTCCACGCAGACATTCAATGAGCCAATTAGATCTAAGACGGTTTCCGTTGGAATAATCTTGACTGCCCTCGTGGCTGCCCCTTGATGTCAGAATCTTCAGTGCTCAGAATCCCAGCTCCTCAGAGAACAAACATCAGGGTGACCAGGGTGTCCTGGACGGCTCATGCCAGGCAGGCGTAGGCAGGACTGAGAAGTCTTGATAACATGACCTCAGCTCCCCCCACCCCCAAGGTGGCAGCTTCTTGTGCACATGGGAGCGGCCCCACCTGGTGAGTCTCGGATGGAGGAAGGCCTGGAGCCTGGCAGTGGGTGTCAGCTCCCACCCCTCCTCTGCCCTCCTGAAGCAGCTCCAGTCCAGGGGCATAGCTCTAGAAGGTCCCCCTTCCCGGGCCGCCCCTCCTCCCCTTGTCCATCATCACCACCTTCTTCACATTCCTGGAATCCACAGGGCTCCCACCCCTCAACCAGGCAGCTGCTGCCTGGGGCGGCCTCGCCCTCCATCATCTGGACCACAACCAAAACCTTCTCTGGCCCCTGTCAGCCTCTTCCTCCACGCTCATCTGCACCGGGGGTCAACATTAGCATACGAAACACTTCCCCCTGCTCAAGCACCTTCAATGGCTCCCTGCCACTCTGAGACAATGATGAAAATGCTCACTAGTCCAGTTAGCCAACTCTCTACAACCCAGCCCTGTCTCCTCCTCCTCCTCTACCCTCAAGACTCCTATCCCCACCTAACAGGGCTCCTACACAGCTCTTCGGGACGCCCACTCGTGCTCAGAGATGTCTGAAGTGCCCTTTCACCCCTCTCCATCCCTTACCCTCTGACAGCTGAGCTAACTCCTATTCACACTGCAGAAGCTCACTTCTCCAGAGAGCTTCCCCCAATGCCCCAGCCTGGGGTCTGTGCCCCTCCCGGCTCCCCTCCCACCCTCTGAGGACTGGAAATGCCTCATTCAGTCTCATGCAGGCTCTGAGGCCCGACCATCTGATCCCTAGACCCAGCACCCGACCAGGAGAAGCCACTGATCCAGCGCCGGGGACAGAGGCCAGAGCTTCAGCCAGCTCGGTCCAGGCTGCCCGCCAGGCTGCAGTGGCCAAGGACGGCCGGCAGGGGGCTCTCCAGAGCTGGGCAGATGCAACGTTCACATAGCAAGAGCCTCGTAGTTGGGGTTTTCATTCTTTACTCTTTTTTATTTTTATTTTTTTCTTTTTGAGACAGAGTCTGGCTCTGTTGCCCTGGCTGGAGTGCAATGGCAGGATCTTGGCTCACTGCAACCTCCAACTCCCGGGTTCAAGTGATTTTCCCACTTCAGTCCCTCGAGTAGCTGGGATTACAGGTGTGTGCCACTACACCTGCCCAATTTTTGTATTTTTAGTAGAGACGGGGTTTCACCATGTTGACCAGGCTGATCTTGAACTCCTGACCTCAGGTGATCCTCCTGCCTCAGCCTCCCAAAGTGCTGGGATTACAGGCATAAGCCGCCATACCTGGCCACATTCTTTACTCATTTTTAAAAGTCAAAATGAATTTCAAATGCTCCTGGTGGCCCCCAGAGGCTGGGTGAAGAGGCAGATGTTGGTCCTTGGACTGGACTCAGCTGGAGAGAGCAGGTAAGGGGGGAAAAGGTGGCACCTCCAAAAGCTTCCATTTGCCCTCAAGGCCCAGCTCAAACGTCCCCCTGCCCCTCCAAAGCTCTCCCTTCCTGGACTCTGGGTGGGCTCACCCTCTCCGGGGCCCACCGCCCTCTGCTGCAAGCTGAGCCTGTCCCGGGGTGAGTGGCCCTCTCTGCATCACTCTCCACCACGCACATCCGTCCCTGCAGGCGGGGCCCAGTCACTTGCCCGTGTGTGAGGCTGGAGCCCGCAGCCCTGAACTGTCCACAGACCGTCGCCTGCCATGTGCCAAGTGCGCTCAGGCCAAGCTCCGGGAGTCCACACTACAGGCCCGTGACCAACAGAGACAGGAAACTGGGCCACACTGGGGACCCAGAGTTGCTGTCACCAAACCACCTCCTGTCCCATTCTGAACAGGCAGCTGTCCACAGAGAGACCTCCGCCCCCAGGCACCAAGCCCAGCCAGGCCTGTCTCCACCCGACCCCCAGCAGGGCCCCTGTGATGCGCAGCCATGCCCAGCATCTCAGGATGAGTGAGGCGTCGCCTTGGGCCAGGGTCACCCTCTCTGCTGTCTGCAGAGCTGGCTGTGGTGGGGCCGAGTGAGGCCGTTCTGGGGATCGGGGGCCAGGCTGGGACCTGTCCCTGGGGAAGGAATGTGGATTTCCTACACCCAAAACCTTCCAGGGCCTTCTCACAATGCCAGCCCAGTTGTGACCTCCAGACTGAATGTGACGACACCCACAGACTTACTGGGATCCAGGTTCTGGATCCTTCTCTGTCCCAGTGGCCCTGGTTGTGGACCAAATGGTGGCCCGTAAAATGTGTTCACATACCAGAACCTGTGAACAGGGGTCTCTGTGGATGGAACTGAGGATCTCGGGATGAGGTCATCCTGGGTCATCCAGGGGGGCCCTAAGTCCAGGGACTGCAAGAGACAGAAGAGGAGGCCCACGCAGGCGCCAGCAGGCCCTGGGATCGGAGCAGCGCAGGGATCGGAGCAGTGCAGGGATCAGAGCAGCGCAGTCACGAGCCGAGGCTGCTGGGGCCACCAGCGGCTGGAAGGGGCAGGAAAGACCTCCCATGGGTCCCCCCCAAGAGTTTTTGGAAAAAGCCGACCCTGAGGACCCCTTGATTTGGGGCTTCTGGCCTCCAGGCTGCAGAAGGAACCCATTCTGGACACTTGGCCCTCTCTTGGGGGTCATCTGCTACAGAAGCCCCAGGAAGCTGATGCCGCTGCCCCTGGACCACCCGAGTTGCCGGCTCCCTCCCACAGGAGGCCCCGGGTTGCCCACACGTGCCGTAGACACCCTGTCCCTCCAGCCACGCGGCCAGCACTCAGTGTTGCATTGCGAACACCATCACTTGGCCGAGTCTAAGACCCAGCCTAAACCACCCAGGGTGGCGGCCACACCCGTCTCCAGGAGGATAGAGCCCAGCAGGGCCTGCTGGGGACGGGGATGAGCGACTCAGCCAAGCCTTCCAGCCTGGCCTCCAGAACCCACCTGCCCTACAGGGTGTGCAGCCGTCGGTGACGGAATTCCCAGAGCCCTTCCTCTCTCAGGCCAGGGTCCCACCGGGGACGAGAACATTCAGCACTGAGCTGCAGAGGGGGGTTCTGTGGGGCCAGCCCCCATTTGTGGGTTCTGTGTGGCCAGCCCGGTCTGCAGGTTTGCGGGTGGGGCTGCTCTAACACCTTGCCCCGGGGAGGCAGCAGCAGGACAGACGGCCCCATAAGAGTTCACCCTGGCTTTTGAGCAGCCCAGGAAAACAGCACAGCAGCCTCGCCCTGGGGAGAAGCACGGCCCCAGGTGTGGGACTGTTTACTGGCGGAAAAGGGGCCACCCACACCTCGGCAGGGATGTGAACCTCCACGGCCTCAGAGGGAAACATCCAGTGGCCACATTCCATTATGGCCCAGACAAAATAAGCAGGTCTCCAAGGACCCGGGTCCTCCTGCCGCGCCCCAGCTTAGAGGGTGAGCACACGGCGCCGACCCGGCCAGCTGCCTGCCCATGCCAAGGAATTCCACAGACAGAAAGGAAGGCATGGGTCCCCTCCTCCAGGCACCCCCAAATCTAGCACACGGCAGACGGGACAGGCTGCCCGTGCCAGGACAACTAGAGCCTGCAGCTCTGGCTTCCCACGCGACAGAGGACAGGAACGCTGGGTCCAGCCACTGTCCCCGGCCGCTGCCAACCCACTCCCCAGCGGCTCTGGAAGCCCCTGTGCTGAACCTCCGGCCTGCCGCAGGGGGTCTGGGGGCCTATCCAGCAGATGGGACCCCGACAGGTGTCCTAGCTCTCCCGGGAACCACCCCCACCCCCCACACCAGCCCACAGCTGGCGTGAGCAGCGACCCTGCCCATCCATACTGGCTGTCCAATCCTGGAGGGGCCAAGGCCCTTTGGACTCTGGCTATGGTCCCTGCCAGCCCCAGGGGCTGAGACTCCGGGCCAGCTGTGCCCCCTGCAGCTGGCTGTGTACGCCCCCTGCCTCCGTGGAGCCTGAGCCTTGCCGCCCTGTTCCCCTTTCAAGGGTCAGATGTTGTCTCCTCAAAGACCCCAGCAGGGCTGGCTCCTGCAGCGAGACCCACTGGGTTTGCTCCCAGCACCCAGCGCAGAAGGTGGTGTAACATGGCACCCAGATGGGCTTGCGCCCGTGCCCCAGCTGGCCTTTGCAGGATGAGGTCCCAAGCGTCCAGCATGGCCTGTGTCGTTGCTTGCATTTGCTCCGCCCAGACATCCAGGCTCCACCAGAGCCCCGGCCAGTGTGAGCCAAGTGCTGTCCCTCAGTCCTCTCAGCCCCACACCAGGCCCACAGGAGGCCCCTCTGCCCGCCACCAGCCCGGCCAATGAGCAGCTGCCCCTCCAGAGGGAAGAGAGGAGGCGTCACGCCCTCCACGGGGATTGCAGGTCCACAGGGCAGCCTGGCGCATCTGCACCCAACATGGGAGAAAGTGGAGGGGGTCGCTGGGACAGCCCGCTCCTGCAGCAGCCCTCAGACTCTCTGGGGAGGGCTGGGTGCCTTCCTGTTCCCATTTCCCTCACTCCCCTGGCTGAGGGCGGCTCTCAGGCCTTCACACGCCCAAAGGACTCAGGCCATCCCCACCCACGGCCTGGCCACCTCACTGGGGACATTAGGGCAGCTCTGGGCAACCCACAGGCGGGGCGGCTGGCGTGTCCACCAGGAATTCTTGGTCCAGGAATGTGTCTCCGTGGTGCTCATGCGCGAGCTCAGGCTCCCCGCCACTAAATGCATTTGTTCTTTGTTTTTTCCTTTTCATGAAATCTGGATATGAGCGGCTCTGAGGCTCTGTGGCCTCGGGCCCCTCCTCCCATCCCCATACTCTCTCCCTGCAGTGAGGAAGAGCAGAGGCAGCTGAGGCCCCATACTTGGCACTCCACACTGAGGTTCCTGCGGGCAGAGGACCTCGGACATCGAGCGTGGGGAGACGCCATCCACCTGCTGGTGCGTTCTGGAAATGCCAGCAGGCCGGCCTGCACGTGGGGTCAGTCAGCCCAAAGCCAGCAGTTCTCGGGGGAAACGGGGGTGCTGCCACTGCTCAGTGAGCCCATGCATCCGTACTTACAGTACCCACACCTGGTCCCGCCTTCAAAGATGAATCCGCTCGGCACGGCCCCGTAGCGCCGGAGGTCGGATAGCTTCCACTGCCCCGTGACAGCCGGGGGGATGTCCCTGGCCAAGACGAGGATGTCATTGCAGAGGTGCAGGGTGGCCGGGCCGCTCTCCAACTTGGTGCCTGGAGCCACTGTCACATGGAACCTGTGCACTGTGGGCGGGCGGGGTGAGAGGGCATCACGGGCGGGGCGAGAGGGCATCACGGGCGGGAGGGGCGAGAGGGCATCACGGGCGGGAGGGGCGAGAGGGCATCACGGGCGGGAGGGGCGAGAGGGCATCGCGAGAGGAGGCAGCAGGGGCAGAGGCCAGGCTGGGGCGGGCAGGGGCAGCCACCCAGGTGGCAGCCGGGGAGGCAGCGGCGGCAGGATGAGCAAATGGCTCTCCCCACAGCCCCGAGCGGGCGGGGGGGCCAGGGGGCCGCACTTGTCTCCTCGCCATCCTCCCAGGAACTACCTTTGTTCAGGCGCAAGCAAGTCCCAGAGGGGCCTGACCTCGGACCTCCGCCTCCCTCCCCTCCCACCACAGAGCTGCTGGGGAGGACAGGGCTGGTGAGTGCCCTGGCTGGGCTCCTGCCCCCAGCACCTCCTCTCCAGAAAGGCTCCCTCCACAGCTGCGTGGCCCCGTCACAGAAGAGGAAACCGAGGCTCAGGGACTCCCAGCCTCCAGTTAGGGTGTGGAGAGTCTGGGGTCTCCATCGAAGCCCCAGCCTGGCCACAGGAGCCTCAGGACACCACAGGCCCTCTCTCCATCCAGGTGGCCGTTCACCCGAACCCTGAGCACTCCCATGGTCCTGTCCACTGATGCTGCCCAGGCCCCTGCCCCTGAAAGCCTCAGAGAGGAGAGTGGTCCTGAGTGCTGTCCCCGCCTTCCCCCTCTTCCCAGGTCAGCACCCCAGGCAGACAGCAGCCTACCCACCAGGGGCCCCACCTGCTCCATCTCCAGCCCCCGGAGCCAAAGGGACCCCTGTTTCCATCCCACCTCCCACTCCTCTGCCTCCTCCACCTGCTCCAAGCTGTGGCCTTGGGTGCATCCTTGTCAGGCCATGTTCTATCAAGATTACGCTGCCTGGGCAGTGCCCAGTGGCCTCTGTGCTATGGCCCTGCCCCAGCGGATGAAGGAAGCGGAGCCATGCCGCTGAGCCAGGCTGGAGGGAACCCCCAACGGAAGAACTTTCTTGAAAGTTCTGGCAGTTCTTCTCTCCTAATGTCTCCTTCCCCTGCGCCCTCCCGCAGAGCTGACCGCACCTCTTCCCACTAAGCCCCCAGCTTCTCTCCCCTTCAATGGAGCAGGAGGGGCTGCTGCCCTGGGGCAGGACACTCACCTCCAAGGCCAAAGAACTCAGCCATCAAGGACCAGGATATTTTAATCAATATTTTAAAAAGTAAAGTTATGCAGAGTCCATGCTAATCAAAATAGCAAGTTTTTGCGTGTTTTTATTTTTTAATTTTTAATTTTTTTTTTTTTTTTTTTTTGAGGTGGAGTCTCGCTCTGTCGCCCAGGCTGGAGTGCAGTGGCGCTATCTTGGCTCACTGCAAGCTCCGCCTCCTGGGTTTACGCCATTCTCCTGCCTCAGCCTCCCGAGTAGCTGGGACTACAGGCGCCCGCCACCTCGCCTGGCTAGTTTTTTGTATTTTTTTTTTAGTAGAGACGGGGTTTCAGTATGTTAGCCAGGATGGTCTTGATCTCCTGACCTCGTGATCCTCCCACCTTGACCTCCCAAAGTGCTGGGACCACAGGTGTGAGCCACCGCGCCCGGCCGTGTTTGTTTTTCTAAGAGAGTCTCACTCTGTCTCCCAGGCTGGAGGACAGTGGTGCAACCTCAGGTCACTGCAACCTCCACCTCCCGGCTCTTTTTTTCTTTTTCTTTTTTTTTTTTTTTTTGAGATGAAGTCTCACTCTACTGCCCAGGCCAGGCTGGAGTGCAATGGCACAATCTCAGCTCATTGCAACCTCCACCTCCCAGGTTCCAGCGCTTCTCCTGTCTCAGCCTCCTGAGTAGCTGGGATTACATGTGCCTGCCACCAGGCTAATTTTTGTATTTTTAGTAGAGACAGGGTTTCACTATGTTTGCCAGGCTGGTCTCAAACTCCTGACCTCAGGAGATCTGCCCGCCTTAGCCTTCCAAAGCACAAGGGTTACAGGCATGAGCCACTACGCCTGGCCATCATTTTTGAATTATTAGTAGAGACGAGGTTTCACCACTTCGTCCAGGGTGGTCTCTACGTCCTGGGCTCAGGTGATCTGCCCACCTCAGCCTCCCAAAGTGCTGGAATTACAGGTGTGAGCCACCACACCCGGCCTAAAATAGTATGTTTTTAAAGCGAGGGCAGCTAGAGCTGGTGGGATTATTGGGTGGGTGCCAGTGTAGGACCAGGACTCGACTCGGTTGACATTCTACTGTTTTGCTCGTTACGGGTTTTGTGGCACTGATTTGGTTTCCTAGGGGACGCAGGATTATGCTTGCTCTGCCGCTCAGTGGCCAGGCCCCATCACCACCCACCTCTGCTCAGAGCCCCAGGGCAGCTCAGCCCCCAGTGGCCCCCAGGCACCCATTCGAAGCCCCTGTAGGGCTGGGACTGAGGTTCCACCTCTTCCAGGGCCAGCTCTGCAGGGGAGCCCTCCCTTCCCCTCTCTCTCCCTCCCTCTGTTCCCTCCCCTCCCTCCCATCCTGTGTGGGGGAAGCTAGGGTGGGACCACCCAGCCTGGGGCTCTCCTTCCTACCCAGGCTCTGGGCTCCACTGTCCAGTGTGGGAAGCAAAGGGCGGGGCTTTGGGAGGCCACATGCCTCCAAAGGCCACCAGCTTGAGTTAAAGGCTCCAGTTGTAACTAATGGTCAGGCTAGGGAGCTCCAAAGACACCATAGCCCAGCAGACTCCGCCTCCCAAACCCTCTTGGGCACCCCCAGGCTGGAGCTCACTCCACTCTAAGGCACCCATGAATGTCCCATCTTCCTGCACGGTTCCCTGGAGCTACTCCCGCCTCTGCAGCCCACGTTGGTGAGGGGCCCTGGCACACCTGAGCAGGGAGCCCTCTGCCCAGACCCGACCCCAGTCACTCACCCTCGCCTAGCGCATAGCGGATCCGGGCGTCCCACGCGCACATGGCCTCGTGGCTGTCGAAGCCCAGCATGACAGCCTGGGACAGGCAGACGATGGCCAGCGTGTGGGCCAGGCCTTCGTAGGGCAGGCCGGGCTCCAGCCCGCAGATGTCCTCTAGCGTCAGGCTGCTGCGCTCCCGCAGGCCCTTGGAGCGCTCCGACTTGTCCTTGTAGACCAGCATCAGCAGGCAGTCTGCAGGGAGCGCGGCTGTCAGGGACACCAGCCAGCACCGCCTGCCCGCGCCCTTGGTGTCCCCAAGGAGGCCGTGACAGTGCAGAGACCCGGACTGGGGGCGTGACTTCAAGCCAGCCACTCAGCCATGCCAAGGCTTCGACTCCTGGCATACAAAATGGGGCGATCCCCTCCCACAGCAGGACCCACAGGCCGCAAGAGCGGAAACGAACCCAGAATATCCATGTCTGTGCCCGGCCCCCGACGCTGGCTCCCATGAATGGGTTCTGGACCTTCGCCAGCGGATTCGCCCTGTCCCAGGCCCTGGAGCCCCCCGGGCCACACGGAGGCCTGCAGTATCTGTGGTCAGGGGTTTGGGGGCCCAGCATGGGACCTGCCCGGTGGCTGTGGCCTCCTGCCCTGGTTCTGCCAGCCTGCCCCTGCCCTGCCGCCCTGCCAGCCACACCTGTGCCCGCTCCCTGCCGCCTCAAGACCCACTGCCCCTCCTGGTTCCTTTAGTTCCCAGGGTGTGGCTGAGCTTCAGCCCCAGGGAGTCAGGGAGGTCAGTGGGCCGTGGGTCCCACCCCATCCACCCAGCCACTGCCCAGCATAGCAAGTCCTGGTTTCTTCCTCGGCTGCTGGGGACCTGCCTGCGTTCTGCCTCCCGGAGCCTCCAGGACAACGCGGGTTCCCGTCCCCACCCCACGTTCCCATTTTCCAACATCACTGTCACCGCAAGCAACTAGCGGGTGCCGTCCACTCCGTCAGGTGCAGTTCAAACCCAGCACAGCACAGTCCCTGTGTGGCCTTGGGCGAACCACCTGGCCCGGGGACACTCCTGTGAATGGCAGGGGCAGCAGGTCTGCCCGAGAGAGCAGAGGACGGCGCAGGAAGACTCCCAGCCCTCCCGGCTCCGCTCCAGGCTTGATGACCAGGCCTCCTCCCACCTAGACCCCGGCAGCTGGGCTCCAGGACACCCGGCTTCGGCGAGGCTGTAGGTTTTGGGGCCTCATGCAAACACCCCAAATCCCTGTGAGCATGCAGGAGGGGATGGGGGAGAGTGTCCCCAAAGAGGATTGCAGAATGACGTGTCCTCTGAAGCTCTGAAGAGTGGGTGTTCACTCTTCACACAGGCCCCGCAAAGCCATGTGACAACCAAAATCCCAAATGAATTAGACTCAGACGCTCATTTTTGCAATGGAATCCAGAGCAGACATGGTGCTCAGCTTCCCTCTTCAGCCGTGCCCACCTCCCCGGGCCACATGGCCGCAGCCCGCAGGGCCAGGGGGGCCTGTGTGACCACAGGGGCCAGCGGTCAGCAAGCTTCCTGTGCAAGGGGCCAGAGGGCAAGCATGCAGCTTTCAGGGCCACACGGGCTCTGCAGCCACTACTCAGCAGCGCCACCCTTGCTGGTGAAAGCAACCTCAGACCGTCTGTGGACCCACGGGCGCAGCTGCATGCCAGGAAACCCAATTCACAAAAGCAAGGCGCAGTGTGGGCGCAGCGACAGCACGTTCACTTCCCATTGGAGGATCTGTCCGCAGTGTCTGAAACATTTACAGCTAGAAAAAAACTAGGCATTCCCGACTTGAGAAAGAAGCCCCATCATCCCTGCACCCACAGAACTCATCCCTGCACCCACAGAACTCCGCCTGCCCTTTCCAGACAATCTCCTGCCCCCCTGTGGAAACTCCAAGGCAGGAAGCAGGACACCTGCCCCAGAGAGAGAAATCAAACATGGCAGCATAATTGGAATTTGCCATAACAGCAGTGTCCCCCAAATGCATCACCAGAGCACCCAAGAAATGACGGCGTGTGGGAACAGCATGAACATGGGGGTGGCTCCGCGCGGGACGGGGGCCCCAGGGCTGCCTGAGCCTGAGGACGGCCCGCAGCCCGCGACTCTGTGACCGCACCACAGCCTCCACCCTCTGCAGTTGAAGTGTGTTGTGAGATGGCTGCAGGGGCCTGGGCCACCTCTGCCTCAGGGGACCTTAAAAAGCTCAGCCACACCCATGTGGAGAGTGGCAGAAACTTCCGCTGAGGATAATCACAGCCCACACAGAGCACCCCTTCATACCCTTCCCCTAAGGGGTGAGGCCCCTGGAAATCCCTGCTCTGATCTTCCAGCCTCATGGCCTTGGGCTCTTGGCCTCAGTTTTCTCATCTGTGACCTGGGGACAGTGGCAGCCCCACCTGCAGCAATGCCATAAGGACCATCTGCAGGAAGGTGTGGAAGTCCTGCATGCAGTAAGCGCTCAATACATGCTTGCATATTCAGGTACACATCTGTCTGCATTACCAGCTGTAAGGCCGGGCCGGCTTCCCTGCAATCTGGCTGCCCATGCACAGAGGGACCAGGTGACCCATGGCTCACCCTCAGTACCCAGCAAGGGGCACACACTGGCCAGCCATCTGCCACCTTCCACCTCGAGGGCCTCAGCCTCCTTGGAGCCTTGGTGGCCTGATCGCCCAGAAGCCAGGCAGAGACCTTTCCTACCCTGTGGCTCGGCTCTGTGATGGTGGCACCTTGGCCACGCCCTGGCAGACAGCTCTGGCACCTGTTGACAACCAGTTCCTGCCATTGCCCCCAACCTGCACCTCCTTTGTTCAACAAGTTACATTCCCAATAATCCAGTCAGGACTGGGGTCAGGAGCTTGCCTGGAAAGAGCCCCACATCACCCTTTTGGCTTTACCGGGCTTAAAGTCTCCGTTACGATACTTAGCTGGAAAGCAGCCACAGATGATGCGTGTGGGAATGGCTGTGAGCCAATAAAACTTTATTTACAAAAACAGGTTCTGGCAGGATTTGGCCCAGAGACCACAGTGAGCCGACTCCTGGCCGAGAGTTGAATTTGCCACGATGGCTTTTCACACCTTCCACGAGCCAGCCGGCCCCACCCTAGACATCTGCACCTGCCAGATTGGTGGTGGGGAACGTGCTGAACCCATGCTCCACCCTCAGACCTTTTTCTGATTCACGGATGCCACCCCTCAGCCTGTCTGATTTTTCTGGACTCTGTCTACAAAAGCAGACTCACACCCTGTACCTTGGGAACGCCTGAGAATCTAGGAGTGCTTACATGCAGGGGGCTAGGCGTGGCCCCCAGCAAGATGTGTCCACTCGCGACCCCGGAACCTGTATGTCCTTATTTGGGAACAGGGTGTCTGCATACGTAATCAAGTTCAGGATCCTAGATTATCTGAGTGCAGCAGCAAGTGTCCTTGTAAAAGGCAGAACAGGAGAAACAGACACAGGGAAGGTCACCTGAACGGGGACGGAGGCAGGGACTGGAGCGCTGAGGTCACAGCCAAGGGACGCCTGTGTCCAGCAGGAGCTGGGAGAGGCAGGAAGGAGCCACTCTGGGAAGCTCAGAGGGAGTGTGGCCCTGCGGCCCCCTGGACTGCAGAGCTCTGACTCCCAGCACTGAGAGGGCGAATTCTCGTTGTTCGAAGGCCCAGCTGTGGTGCTTTATTCTGTTGGCCACAGGAAACTGATGACCACCCAAGTCACTGATTTCATTTTCAAACACGAACAGAAGCAGGGAGGTCAGAGCTGGGGGCCGACTCGCCCCTCCTGCCTGGCGGAAGCTTCTCTGGCAGCTGACGCCCACCCCCTCATGCTCAGGCCGCCCCCTCCTCATCACGGACGATAAATCGATCCTGTTTTTAAAGCGCATCTCGAGATGAGTGCCGGGGGCAAAACGCTGCAGGAACTGGCACCAGAGAGACGGCAGCTCCAGGCCCAGGGCTGAGACCAAGCCAAGTCAGGGCCGGGACACCAGAGCCCCAGGACGCAGCGGCTCTCCCTGGGACACAGCACGTGTGCTGGGGAGACACGGGGCTGAGGGACTCAGGAGCAGATGGCCACTGGCCAGCTCCCCAGGGGCCAGGCCCAGAGGGCCCCAGCCACACCCTCCCAGGAGGCCTGGGCACCCGGGGGTCTCTCATCCATCGGCTGAGGAACCACCGTCAGCCCCGCCCACCCACCCTCCAGCTGCTCCGCACTCTTGGGCATTGACTGCAACCTGGCCAGGGAAGGCTTTTGCAGGACTTGGAGGGTTCCCGGGGCTCTGGCAGGCAGCACTGGGCTGGGTGGAGGGCACCGGGTCATGATGGTGAAAGAAGACAAAGAGGAGACACCAAGAGAGGCCAACCAAGGCACAGAGACCAACGTGGAGCAAGCAGGCACACATGCACACTCACACACACACACTGATACACACACACAGACACGCACACACACTCATACACGCACACTCATACACACAAGCACACACAGGCACACACACTCATACACGCACACTCATACAGAGGCACGCACATACATGCACACACACAGGCACAGTCATACACGTACACTCATGCACAGGCACTCAAACTCATACACAGACACGCACACACATACACTCCTACATGCACACTCAGACATGCACACACACTCATACATGCACACACACAGAAATGCACACACTCATACACGCATATGCACAGGCACACACATACATGCACACATACATACATGCACACATACACAGGCACATGTACACTCACATGCACACACACACGCACACACAGGCATGCACACACACTCATACACACACACACTCATACACACAGGCAAAACGCACACTCATACATGCACACACAGGCAAATGCACACTCATACACGAACACACAGGCACACATACATGCACACAGGCACATTTATACACACACATACACACAGGCACACACACATACACACATACTCACAGACAAGCACACACATACACAGGCACACTCACACTCATACACGAACACTCAGGCACACACACTCATGCACACACAGGCACACTCATACATGCACACACGCACACACTCATACACGTCCATTCACACACAGGTGCACACACTGATGCACACCCATGCAGACACCTGCACACACTTGCACACACAGACACATGCACACAGGCATTTGAGCTCACACACACTCGCACATACACACAGGTATTCACACACATGTGCACACGTGCACACATAGACACACTC